TGTGTGGTTGTGTTTAGTGTGCAGGGGTGTTAACATGAGTACTACATTATTTTGAAGTCCAAACAATACAGCACGCTCTACTTAATTATTTCTGTTTTAACTGTCATATCCCTCATATACAGGTCAGTCCCATCAGGAACTTGTCAGATGGCCAAAAGTGTCGGGTGTGTTTTTCCTGGCTCGCATGGCAGAATCCCCATATGCTTTTTCTGGATGAGCCAACTAATCACTTGGACATTGAGACAATTGATGCTCTGGCTGAGGCCATCAGGGAGTTTGAGGGAGGAATGATGCTAGTTAGCCATGACTTCAGACTTATTCAGCAGGTACGTCTTATAGTACAAAGCCAGTAAATGGATCATACCCATTAGTAGTGTGTCTAATTAGGATCATTTGACTGATCTGAATTGTGTGATGGATGAGTTTTCTATCTCATTCTAGGTGGCTAAGGAAATTTGGGTTTGTGAGATGCAGACCATCACCAAATGGAATGGGGACATTCTGGCTTACAAAGAGCACTTGAAGTTAAAGGTTCACAAACAGACTCATGATGTATAAAAATCCATGAGCTGAACAAACAAGCTTTTCTATCACGGATTGATTACCCTTCTCAATTTCCCAGATGTGCAAGACTGATTGAATTTTAAATCGGACAGTGAACCCAGTTTCTCAGCTGTTGTGGATTGCATTCCATTTTACTGTCATCTAGGATTGTTGGCAACTTAAAATCAATCATTAAGCGTTCCCTGGTCTTATATCTACATCAAAACATAAGACCTACATCAAAACATAACCTACGGTGCTCAAACCAAAAATAATGACAGTAGACATAAAATACCAAAACTGAGGAGTGTGAATAATGCCTGCATATGAAGGCACGTACACTTGGAACAACAAAGGGTTGTAAGACTTCTGTAAGACCTTCCTTTAAAGCAAGCTGAGCTGCTGTGGCATTATTTAGGCAAAAAAACTAAACACATCAGGCAAAACTGTGCTGTTGCTTAGTTTACACGTACAATCAAGCCTGTTCAGCTAGCTTTACTTGTACCTGGGAAGATAATTCTACTGTAGCTTAGCAATACAACAGCAAGCAATGATTAAGCTATATGGTTTCTAAATATTTTAAGTAGTTTCTCAAAGAAGACTATGTGCAAATATGTCCATGTTGAGCAAAAAGGTAATTGCATCAGTTCTAATGAACAGCTGCACCCTTGCTCATAAAATAGCAAGTCATGCAGGTTTCAGTTGTTAGGAAATGTTCCTGCCCACACTGTGTGTGAGTGTGTATTTCTAACTTGGCTACACATTGAGGACAAATTTTATAAAGATTTTCTTTGTTAAACTCAACAAGATGATCTGTCTCTGTCTTTCTGTTTCCCGCTGTATTCATTTCTTAGTTCATACTGTAAGAGGAGTGTGTGGTGTTTGATTGTGAGGGTGATGTGCGTTATCCTCCACATACACCCTAATGTTAATACACTCTACAATGGCTTTGTCAAAGCTTTTAAACACATTGGGATTAAATGAGATTAAACTGTATGGACCACGTACTGTATGTCTCTCTCCTACACTGAAATACAAATTTTAGCCCTTTGACAACACGAACAGTCTCTGGAAATATGCTTTCCTTCCTAATGTAATCGTGTCAGCTGCTGCTAGTCATATCTCTAGTGTGTGTCTACTTCCATCCTTTCACAATTAAGGAAACCAAAAATTTGACACCAATTTTCAATATTGTACAGGGAGCCATGTGTAGTAAGATCGATTCCTGTAAGATAGCCACCTACACAGCAATATTGGACATATATTCTTTAAGTTTCCTCTTGAACTCCAGAAGATAGTGTATTTGCAAAAGTGATGAAAGAATAACAGTGAGTTGTGCAAACAGGAAAGTATTGCAAAAATAACACAGCTTAGCAAGTGCCTTTATAGTTGGTCAAGACTCTTTGCTTACAGATAATTCTTCATACATTTATGTTTTTGAGTCCTAAATTATGTGTGAGAGTGTGTGTGTGTGTCACAAATCATAAATAGTTTCTTCAACTTATTAAAATATCTTACTTTACTGCAACTATCTGTTTCTGCTTCCTTATCATATTTATTGTGTGTGATTTATAAAATACATTATCCTTCATCACACATATTGTGTCTGGTCACTTTATATCTTATATCAGAAAATGCGTTGAACCATGTGTCCTGTATCATAGCTACATGAATGATCTTTGCAGCAAAAAAAAAAAAAAAAAACCTGTGTGGAAATCAGTTTGTTTTCAGTGAAATATGAATAATTAAATGCATTGACAGCTCATTGCACCTGACAGATTACACTGAGTGGAGCGGGTGACCGGTTTAAGACGGCGGCTCCATAGAGGTCGATGGGGCGTTTCACAGTATGTCTATGACTGTATAATACAATTATTATTTGTATTTTGAGCTTAAATTTCACAGACACATTCTGGGGACACCCGAGACTTATGTTACATTTTGTAAAGAGGAGCATCATTCATAGGTCCCCTCTAGAATCATGACATTTAGAGTTTTGATAGGCTACTCTTATCTACACACAAATTGCAGTAGGCCTAATTTGTTGGAGGGGATAGCTACATCACAGGACCTGAAATAATGGTGGTAATACTAATTTATATATTATGTTGGCAATATGTTCTTACATTTAACAAATAAGATCTAACATTATACAAATAAATATTCAGAGGTAGACTAAAAAAAAAAAAAAACTACACAAGATTCAATGCACTAAACTTGTTCATTCTTTTTTCTGTGAAGCTTAAGATAAAAGGACAAGATGCATTGCTGAATGGTGACTGCTGAATTGACAAATATGAGAAAAAAAAAATTAAATATATTTTAAATTATGTGTAGGCATATTCATTAGCTCAATTGCTCAGTATGAGATGAGCTAGCTTTTTGAGAATACAAACTTAAATGATTGGATTACAAAGGTAAATCAGCACAATGTAAAAGCAGTGTTTGTTTAATGTTCAGTTCAGTGAAAATAAAAATATGAGTCAGAATTTTCTTTCATCTAATATCCTATTTCATATACACAAACAAAATATGTGTGTGTTTAAAAATACAGTAAATCTTCTCTTGAATTGAATTAACTGTCATGTTTGTTTACACAAAAGTAAGTCTTTACCAAAGTTTTTAAATTACATGCTTATCTCATTCATTTGCAACATTTGTTATCAGACACATGCACATTTTGTCATCACTTAATTGCAACATGACTTTCTAACGAGATCAATATAAAAGATGCTGTAACTTCCTCAAGTAGAAGAGGCTACTGCTGTCTAGTGTTCAGGCTCGTGGTATCCCGCTGCAATGAAGCAAAAATCAACCCTTCATTTGACTGTAGGCCATTTCTTTCTCATTTTCATTTTTATACAAGGAGCCTTGTCAGAGAAGCAGACCAAACCACCATGGGTGAGACAGCTCGCAAATTAACTTGCAAAATCTACTCTTGAAGTCTGTTTATTTACTTGGTTGAAATAAAATGAATGAGAGCACTATAATGAGCATTATATCAAATGATAAAAAGATCACCAAATCGGTTTTCTTCAGTTTTATCAGTTTGAAAAAAGTAAAAAAAAAAAAATGATAAAAAAATGTTTATGAAAATGAAATTTAAATAATGTGCTTTATTGTATATGTTGATGATTCTTTTTTTTTCTTGCTATCTTTTTTCCTCAGAATTTTGGGGTCATATCTATGGCCTTCGGTGAAAAAAACCCAAATTCAGAGATGGATTATGATGAGGTGACGTCTCTATCTGTTATAGACTACCTTTAGAATCATTATCTCACTATAAGGATGTTTTTTTAGCCTATGTTTGGAGTATAGCCTACTTCTGGTAAATGTCTTATCTTATCCAGGCTATTGTATTGTGGATTTAAAAGCAGGAACACAGCTTTTGTTTCCTCTGCTTTACTTAGCTGTCAGGCGACATGAATCTCTCTGGATCCAGTGATGACTCCGCTGTGGAGGAGACATTCACCACAGCAGGACCTGAGCGACCAATAAAGGCAATTTAAATCTCTCTCTCTCTCTCTCTCTCTCTCTCTCTCTCTCTCTCTCTCTCTCTCTCTCTCTCTCTCTCTCTCTCTCTCTCTCTCTCTCTCAATATCATATAACAAATAAGTTATAGGTAAAATAAATTAATCTTGTGTATGTGTATTTCTTTTTTCTGAAGTTATTTGCAGAGAAGAGGAGCCAAGACAGTTAAAACCTGTGAACGTGATTGTCACACTGCCTAGTATTAAACATGTTTTACATTGCAGTAAATGTTGGGCATGTCTGAGTCTACTTCAGAATTTTGTCAAATAAAGTAGGCTAATGACAGTTAGAAATTAAAATGTTAGATGCAAAACGATATTCAGTGTCTCATTTCTCTTGTCTTCAAATTCAGTCTCACTGGAAAACTAAAATTGAGGGACAAGGGTCTTTTTTGTAAGCGTGTTTTTTTTCCCTCTCTGATCTGTGTCTTCTCTCGTAGAATAGCCAACCATTTAGGCTACTGCAGATTAGCCTACTGGTAGATTCGAGTAATAAATAATTAAAGAGCCACGAATTAGCCTACATAGGCTACACGGGGTAAGTTAGGCCAACCCAGAATTTACATTTCTTCAGCACCAAATAACAATGACTTCAATACAATTTATGTTTTGTTGTTGTTGTTTTTTTTACATTGAAAAATGAATAAACAATTATTTGACTTATTTATTTCTTACCTTCTTTTGAACCTTAAACAAAAACTTCTCGATTAACATCACGTTCTCTTCAATAGGGTGTCAAATTTATCCAAAATCAAATATTTACTCTCACATATATTAAGTAGTTTTTTTTTCTTTTTCTGGAGACTTTTTAAATGAACCTCACTACATCTAACGTTACAAGACAAATCGTAGCCTAGCCAATGCAAAATGTCAATGCAATATGTAAAATAGCCTAGCATTGCATTTTGTATTTAAATTTACATTTTACATTACCATTATAGCAACGTTTGGTGCAAAATGAAAATGAAATTACATAATTTACATTTGCCATTTCATACACTAGTTTTAATATGCATTATGAGGTTATTAGCGTAAAAGCACAACCTCCTTCTGATCTATGTTGTTGCTTGCCAGACAACCACTCGGGGGTATCAAACAGCGACATCCAGCGGTGATAGAAGTTATTGTTCCTCCAGACAGAGTGACGTGCTGCTCAAGCAGGAAGTGAACGTGTTCACGTGTGTTTGTGTTGTTCTGTTTTGCCGCCCTTAAGCAAACTCACTTTATTTACATGAACTGTCAACGTTTAATCGTTTCTGATGTAAGCAACAGAGACAAATTATGTCTTCCGATACTTCTACTGTTGGAGGGATTCAGGGTAATCTCCTAAAGCTTCATTCATTACTTGGAGACACAGAGAACAGGAATGCTGCTTTAGTCTGCCATGACATTATTGGAGACTTGGGGCAGGAATGCATGATAACTAAAAATCACAATGAACTGGGTAAGAACTTTCTCATGCAAAAAGCATTGCGTTGTGTTTTTACAAAAAATGCAAAAACAAAATGTTTTTATTTATTTCTTGTAGTATGCCTATATTTGATACATCTATACAGAATCAGATTACAGTGGCACATGGAGTAGACCGACAGATATTTGTAAATTGTAATGTTATCCAGGTTAATTTAGGATGAGTAGCTGCATGCACATAAACTCATTTCATATTGGTGAACAAAACAAATAATGCATATAAACTCACTATTATTAATAGATAGATGGACGGATAGCGCGATATGTTAAAGTGGAATTTAAAGTACAAGAGCAGCCAGACAAAAATAAACTGTACCACACATAAAATAAAAAAACACAAGTTTATTCCAATATATAGAAGAATATGTGTGTATTTGTTTCGGCAATGATGAGAAAGCACAAGTGATTTTCCATATTTGCTCCCTTTTGCGCCAAGGAAGGACCATCCTATTGCTGAGGGTGAACATTTCATGTAGATAGTAATATAATTGTCCATGATATCCATCAGTTTAGTCATCATTCTCTTTTCAACTGCCCCTCAAGTGGTTCAAATCCAACCCCGATGATTGAGCCTGCCTTTTTAATTATCCTGATGACCATTAATCTTGTTGTTCTAAATGTTCTTATTCGTTTCACTTTCAGTGTTACAGACATCTTTGCTTTTTGCAAAGGACGGGGGGTTGCTTAGCTTTCTCCGAAAGTCTCTCTCTAGTGAAACGGTGAGAGGTGTTTATGGAAAATTCTAAATTCGAATTCTAGGTATTATTTAGTTATAACATTATTATAAAGATATTGATCATACGTTTGTCCACAGCTACGTGATACAAGAGTGGAGATTCTCAATTTCTTAGGGGTATTTCTACAGAGAATGTCAGTCACTGTCCGAGGATGGGAGAAGAACTATGCTGTCGACCTCAAGGTACCTTCAAGCAGTCTGAAAATTTCTTTCTGGTTTGGCATTGCCATCACATTTTAATGTGTATTTTTAAGGTTGACTAATTAGACCACTAATTTGCTGTATTTTGGCACATCTGAGAATTTGTTCCTCTCTCTGCATGGATAGGACATTTGTATGGTTGTCTACACAAAGGACAAAGCTGCAAAGTGCAGAAGCCCTGCTTTAGATCTCCTAATCAAAGTGAGTTCTATATACACATGTTGACCTAGTGTATGCTGATACCCAGACATGGCAACTTGCACTTACTCTAAGTCATTTAAAAACTTGAGACTGGTAGCCAACTGACTTGACATCTGCAAGGAGAACAATTTCCTTGGAATATCACAATACAAAGTAACGTTTAGTTTATTCTTACTTTTTAACTCTTACTTGGAGCCAGAGAATTGTGAACATATCTGTGCTAATGACATATTTTGATGTTCACAGATAAACTGTTAACACATTTCAAAAATCTCTCTAGATACTGTATCTCACCAAAGACTCCAGCATCACCCAGGATCTCAAAATTGGGGATATGTTCAACAAATTTTATGGAGAGTTATGTCAGAAGAATAAGATACCTGATACAGGCAAGTGACGAAATCATAAAAAAAAAACATTAGGCTTATTGTGTCTGTTTAAATTTAGTTATGTAGCCAAAATATTTTGGTATTGCCGCCGATAGTTATCTTTAGATGACTGATTATGATTGTGTGTCAGAATACAAACAAACATGTCACCATATTGAAACATCAAATTGACTACCAACAGTTTTGGGTTGCATTTATGAACTTCTTGGAGTGCTGGGTGAAGTCCACCCCAGTGAGATGGTCAACAACTCTGAAAAACTGTACAAGGCCTACCTGGGTGAACTGAAAGGACAGGTAAAGGCGTCCCATCCGCATGTGCTCTTATGTGCATGTATAAAATTGCCAAGTGCTAAATCAATGGTTTTCAGATGACATCTACTACAAAGGAGCCCAAACTTCCTGTTGTTGCTGGCTGCCTTAAAGGAATCACCGCTCTGATGGTGAACTTCACCAAATCAATGGAAGAAGGTGGGTGTGTGTTTGTGTAAATTTACTGTCCTACACTGGTCTTCTTAACCTAATTCAATTAATATGCTCACTGTTTTGCTTTAAACAGACCCGGTTATGTCAAAAGAAATCTTTGAATATGCGCTAAAGGCGATTTGTCCTCAGGTAGGATTAATTAAGAGTGTTAACTTGGCAATAAAATTTAACGCTGTATTGTTATTTTACCCGTTTGTGTAGTACATGTGCAGCTCAGTCACATTTTCCATTAAGAGCTCCCAATAAATGCACTTCTTCCTTCCTTATGTCTCTATAGACTGATATGAAACGATATGCAGTCATCTTTGGTAAGTGAAATTAGATGTACTGTAACAACATGTATTTTCTTACCATACTGCCAATGTTGAACTCATCCTTGTCTTTTTTTTTTTTACTCATAACAGCCGGTCTCAAAATGTTTGCTAAGCACTCAAGCCAGTTCGGCAACTGTCTCATGGATCATTACATGTCTATCTTTGATGTCATGTCCAAACTTTGTGGACACATAAATGGAGAGCTGAAAAAGAGTAGTTACACAGCCCTAGAGTCTTTCCTAAAACAGGTATTTTTAATTTATTGATTATAAATAATTTCATATTATTATTTATTTATTCGTATTTGTGTTGAGAGATGTTCAACTTGGTTATGATGACCATGATCTGTTCAAACTCTTCCTATCATTGCTGTAAAGGTGGCTACTCTAGTGGCAGAGAACATTGAGTTGCACAAAAGCAAGCTGAAGTTCTTCATGCAGAAGTTCTGTGCTATCATCAGGACCATGGCATCCACTAATAAAGAACTGTCCATTGCTATCAGAGGATATGGCCTGTTTGCTGCGGTTGGTATCTGGACATTTTATTAGAATGATACGAATTGTCTATACTGTAATACTCACAGCAAGTCCACGTTTTTTTAAATATCAGCAAAATATATCTGTTTAGTATTGCTGGTCCTATTTGAACTAACTTTTCATTTTGCACTAATGTAATTGTTTCTGTTTGAGGCTAAATGGATGGAGATTTTCTGACTGTGTTTTGTGTTTGTTTGCCTTTAGCCGTGTAAGGTGGTGTGCCCTCAGGATGTAGATCTGATGTATACAGAGCTCATTCAGCGGTGCAAGCAGATGTACCTGACTGAGTCTGACCGGGAGGATGACAATGTCTACCAGCTGCCAAGCTTCCTCGACTCCATAGCTAGTGTTCTGATACACCTTGACCGGGTAAGATACATCTCCTTTACTATGAGCTGTGAATCACACTGTAGATGATTTTATCGAGCATTTGGTTTATCTAATCCATCAAACGAGTGGGTTAATTTGTATTTTTAATCAAGAATTTACTGTCAGGAGCTGCTACTGTTTGTTACCTTTAACCTCACCCAACAGATTCTATTGTAATTTCTATAACTGGTTATAGATCCCTGAAGTCTACACTCCCGTGCTAGAGCGTCTCCTTGTGGTTCAGATGGACAGCTTCCCTCAGTACAGCCAGAGAATGCAGTATGCCACCTGCCGCTCCATCATCAAGGTGTTTGTTGCCATGGCAGTTCGAGGTCCTGTCCTGTGGAGTTTCACTAGTTCTGTGGGTAAGGATGAGCTGGAGGTTAGCATGGCAGATCTGATAGGTTGGTTTTTACCAGTGCTCACACTCTTCATTTCTTCAACAACAGTTCACCAAGGCCTGATCAGAGTGTGCTCTAAGCCGGTTCTTCAGTCAGTAGTAAGTGTTTTTGTTAAAAGTGCTGATCTTTTTGATTTTTTTTTTTAAAAATTATTATTATCATGAAATGATACATTTATTCACCGCCAGGAGCGGCCCATTCCTTCTGATAGTTCTGAAGCTCAGGAGGATCCCACCCTGGTGCGCTCTGGGAAATGGAAAGTTCCTTCCTCTAAGGACTACCTTGACCTCTTTAAGGGCCTTTTGGACTGTGAAAACTTTAAAGTAAGAAATTAGATGTTTATTTGATGAGCAATTATCTAGTTAAGGTAATGGTTTCATTTGTTAGTATCTTAATGATGTATTATTGGGTTTGAGTGTGACCATGTAATCATAAAATCTGCTGAATGTGTATTTGTTACTTCGTTTCAGCAGATTAATCTAATGTCTGATCTGATCTAATTTGCTGTGTTTTTAGGACACAGGATTCATGGATGGAGCTCCAGCTGCCAAGAACTACAACCTGAGAGACATAAACCGACACTTGTACGATGCGCTGGTGCAGTCAGTCATGAAGATTGTGGAGAAACTTGATCTTTCAGTGCAGAAAGTCAATGCAGCAGATGAGGTAATGTTTTAGTGCTGCACCTTGCATGAATAGTAAAAATGTGGGTGGTTAAAGAAACTGAGGAGAAATATAATTTATTGTCAATAAGTTAAAAACAGGAATGATTTAAATGATCATATCTAGAAAAACCTTGCCAATAATTTACGGTCCCCCAATTCTTCCTCACTCAATGCTGCTCACAGTATTTCTGAAGACTTGCATGCACTTTGTGGAGGAAATGTCTGTGCGTGCTAAAGCAGTACATATAAGAAATAAACTTGAAACACAAACATTAGATGTTAACAAATGTTATGGCCAAATTTGTAAAGTATTTCTTCTTTTTCTCAGGCCCAGATTGATGCAAGTGCTGGATTAATGCCTTCATCTGACCCCACAGCAAACCTGATGCCCAACAAGCCCAAAGACTTTATTGCCTTTATCAATTTGGTTGACTTTTGCAGGTGCCAAAACCTTTTTTTTTTCCTATTGGCAATGTCAGAAATCAATAAATCAAACAAACAAAAAATCTTATTTGCACCCTTATTTCATGAAATTGCATGATACATACAATTATTGTTATCTTCTCTATAGTGAATTATTGCCTTCAAGAAATCCTGAGTATTTTGCCCAGTGGATGTACCCCCTGTGTCATGAGCTCATTCTGCTATCAATACGTTTCCCTCTGGTCAGCGGCTTTTATAAGCTCCTCTCCCTCTCTATGAGCATTGCCAGGAAAATCCACTATTTTCAGGTAATACACACTCTCCATCACATTAACTCCTTAATTTAGTGTGTTGATAAACCTTGACAAAACCAGTATCTTTTGCTTATAGGACCCAAAACAAGGGCCTAAAAGTGTTGGTGGTGGCGGCGGCTCCACCATGGAGAATGCTTGTTTTTCGCTCCTTGCAAAGTTTGGAAAGGAGGTGACCCTTTGACCCTTTTCGTCAATTTATTTCTGTGATAGATGCTTGTACATTGCAGTCAGCTTAATGTATTCTGATTTTGGTCATATTGTTGTGTATGATGATGATGATGAATGTGATGATTTGAAGGGCAATTTTTTTTGTTTATTCTCAGGTGTGTGTACGTATGAAACAATATAAAGACGAGCTACTGGCTGCCTGTCTGATGTTCACCCTCTCTCTTCATCCTGACATGGTGGCTCTGGATATCAAGGCATATATACCAGCTCTGCAGGTTAGGAAAGGGAAGCAAATGGACAATTTTGTGATTATCAACAACAGTAAATAGCAATCACACTCTAAAGTGATAAAGTAACATAAATTGAAGCATGATATATGTATGTAATGATCATCTGTTTTCATTGTTTTCTTTGAAGGCTGCTCTGCATCTGGGTTTGAGTCATGCTCCTCTAGCCACAGCAGCGCTGGATGCTCTGGAGTCCTGGTCTTCTCTGATCCCTTCTGCCATCATGCAGCCGCGCTACGCAGACATACTGCCACATTTAGATGGCTACCTCAAAACAACCAGTAACTCTGGTCAGTTATTTGTAACCTCACCATATTTATATACTGTACTGTCAAAGAAATGCTCACTGGTTATTATTCTTTCTAAATATACTACTTGGATATCTAAGGGTCAGTTCTTATTATCAAATTCCTTTCTTAGCTGATTGTGTTTTATTTGTTTTCAATCATTCAATTAGAACAAGATGACAGCAATATGGAAGTGACGTTTGTGTCAACGGGAAGTTCAAAAAGTTATGGAAAAGTCATGATGAGGCTCCTGAAGAAATCAAAGCACTTCTCTGTGGTAATTAGATTGATTTGTTTGTAATTGTATGTAATTGATTCTGTGATGTAACTGTGTTGTGTTGCATACTCTGAATCTGTGATTCTGATTGTATAATATATCCGTAACTGCATGCACACAGTGTCCTGATGTTACTGTGGTCTCTGTTAGGGAGATGAGTCTCCGATTGCTGCTGTGAGACGCAGGGTGGTACGTCTGCTCGGACACTTGGGAGGACAGCTCAACAGGAGCCTTGTGACAGGTTATTTTGTTTCTGCTGCTATTTGTTGACTTTTTTCAAAAGGCAGTACTTGTTAATTTTGCGTGCTTGTCTTTAAGCTTTATATTTTGCATTTTCTTATATCTAACCCCAGCTGTGTCTGCGGAGGACATGATGAAGCGTTTTGTGGCATGGGACTGTGAGAAGAGGCTGAGTTTTGCTGTGCCTTTTAAAGACATAAAGCCTGTGATCTACCTGGACTCCTTCCTGCCAAGGGTCACAGAGCTTGCTCTGTCCTCCAGTGACAGACAAACTAAAGTAATCATAGTCACATTTTCTTTTCACATTAACATTTTATTTATTCACCCAATCAATTGAGGCTGAAAGTGATAATTCTGTCTGGTGTGTAGGTTGCAGCGTGTGAGCTTCTGCACAGTCTGGTCATATACATGGTGGGTAAAGGAGCCCAGATGACAGAAGACGACAAATCTGCTCCTCCCATGTACAACCTACACAGAAAAGTCTTTCCTGTTCTCCTACGCCTGGCCTGTGACGTCGACCAGGTCTTTTACCTAATGTGTGCTCTTTAAATATGATGAACGGAATAAACATTTAATTTGACAGTCAGGTTTTCTAATGTAACATAGTTTTTGTGCTTTTTGGTTCTCAACCTTTTTGCGTCCAATGCCCCCCATGTAGACCAAGATATTTCCTGTTACTTCTCCTATAATGATGACAAGGAACTAGAATTGTTAAGATAATTAACCCAGTAATCAAGAAGTTTCAGTGACATTTTTTCAATAAAAACAGCAGTTGTTCACACGGTATAATTCAAATAGAAAACACAGTGTCAATTTACACATTTCATACCTGGATTTTTTTTATTTAAAGGTTAAGTTAGATTATTTACAGTAAGTTATTTATTTTATTGTTAAAAATATATATAACAGTGAATGAATGAATGATTCATTAAAAAAAAGTTATCTTGTAGTCCCCTTGGAAATTTGATGAGGCCCCCTAGTGCCCCCCGAATTGAGAATCCCTTAAAGTTTATAGTTTCATGTCCATATTTTGTCCACTTCAATCAGTCTCTGTCAGTCATGTGTAAGTTCCACAAAAATAGAAACTGTGACTTCTTCTTCAGGTGACGAGGCAGCTGTTTGAACCTCTGGTGATGCAGCTTATCCACTGGTTCACTAACAACAGAAAGTTTGAGAGCCAAGACACAGTGGCAGTGCTGGAGGCCATTTTGGTAAGTAAACTCCTTCAGTAGACACACTTTATTTCAATCAAAATTGAGTTTGTCCTCAATAAACAAGGGCTGTTAATCTGTTTGGGCCGCACAGGATGGAATTGTGGATCTGTTAGACAGCACCCTCAGAGACTTCAGTGGCACCTGTATCCAGGAATTTGTCAAATGGTCCATTAAACAGACAACACCCAAACAGCAGGAAAAGAGCCCAACCAACACAAAATCTCTCTTCAAACGGATCTACAGCCTGGCCTTACACCCCAACGTCTTCAAGAGGCTTGGAGCTGCGCTTGCCTTTAACAGCATGTACAGACAGTTCAGGTCAGTGTGTGATGAGCAGAAGAGCTCATTATAAGGGCTACTTGCAGCCTCTCAACATTTTAGCAATATATTCAATGCCATCTTGAGTGAATATAAGACATCTGTAGTGAATGAAAATGGTGTTTATGTAGTTATTTACCCAAACATTGTTTTGTTTTGTTTTTTTCTCAGAGAAGAGAGCTCTTTGGTGGATCAGTTTGTGTTTGAGGTGCTGGTGGTGTTTGTTGAGAGTCTGGCTCTGGCCCACTTTGATGAAAAGTCCCTGGGTAAGACTAGACATATTCTCTTCATCAATACATCCTGTTTGATGCTCATCATGACTATGATCTATCCTGTCATATTGGTATTTTCTACACAGGAACTGTCCAACAGTGTTGTAATTCCCTGGATCATCTGATGAGAATTATCAAACACAAGGCAGACTCGCTCAATAAGAATACCAAGAGACGCATACCCAGGTACAAACACATTATTTTGACTAGGATATTATTCTTAACTTCCCTTAATTCACATTTGTAATGAACAAACAAACTGACAGACCTGCATTTTCTACTCTTTCCACAGAGGATTCCCTCCAGACCAGTCAGTGTGCTTGTCAGATGTAGTCATGTGGCTGCTGATCCAGTGTGGAAGACCACAGACTGAGTGCCGACACAAATGCATGGAGCTCTTCTATGAACTTGTGCCTCTGCTGCCCGGTAACCCGCAGGATGTTTATAATGAAGGCAACACAGTGATTTAATTGCCATTCAGGGACTCTCCTATTCGAAGACATTTCAATCTCCTGCTTCAGAATTTGAACATAACATGAATTGACCAAATCAACTTGAAATTAACAATTGTAAAAATAATATTCACTGGTAGTGATAGCACAGAGATTCTTTTTTTTAACAATCTCAGAATCTCACTAAGCAGAAAATATGTCATAAAAAATGTTATAGAAAAGCTTGGTCATATAAATAGTTTAGAAATGTCTTTGTGATTTAGGTCATTTTGCACCTATAGGATTGTATTAGAATTGCATATGAGAATGAGTACTAAAATTATTGAGAAAAACATAACACAATTTTTTATTCAAGTTCAATTTGACTTTTTCTTCTTTTGACAGGTAAAGCATCTCCTGCAGCGTGGCTGGACGAACAGGTGAAGCAGCGTGGTCCAGGTTTTCTCGTTTCGTGTTTGGAGGGAGGTGGTTTACTCTCCCAGCCTACTTTGAGAGAGGTTGAAGCCCCCTTCAGCATCAGAAGCACCTTGCAGTGGATGGATCTACTGCTGGCTGCTCTTGACTGCTACAGCACCTTCACAAAACTGCACTGTGTACAACCCCAGAGGATCCTGGGTGGGTGAATGCACACCATGATTTAAGATTTAACTTAAGATGCATAACTAAAATCTTCTCGAATGTTTGAAATAATCGGTATCTGTCAAATTATTGCTAATAGCTTCTTCGTTTCTCCCATTCCTCTCCACATCCAGGCACTGGTGAGAAGTCCAGCTTTTTGCCAGCTGTCCGTTTCTTCCTTACAGAGCTGTCCATGCAGGACGTTCAGGCTGCCAGAGCTTGCTTCAGAATAGGTAATGCAGGTCAGTCGCACTTAAGCCCTCGTGAGACAGAGCAGTACAACTACAGCAAGTGCTCCATCATTGTCCGAATGCTGGAGTTCTCCACCATGGTACTAAAGAAATGTCCACAGGATCTCTGGAAGGTAAGATAGGTTTTTGTTGCTTGTATATTTCAGGGGAACATAATTAATTGGAAAAAGGTTAAAATAGTATTTTATGATCTTATTTACTTACCAGAACCTACCAGTGAACCTACCAGAATCTACGATGGTATAAAAAATACAATGCTGATTTAACTTTTTCACTTTCTCTTTAGTTAATGGAGCATGATTTTTTCAACACTTCCTTCTTCACACTGGTGGCGCTGACGGTGTGTGAGCCCTCTTCCATTGGGTTCAACATGGCCGACCTAGAAGTGATAACTCAGCTGCCAGAAGTGTGCGCTCCTTTGCTTAAAGTTTTGGCATCAACGCCTTACAGGACACAAGTGGAGAGCAGCATTAGGAAGAGAATAACCGTACAGAGGTCTGCTTAAATTGTAGTTGGTTTCAGTGAATTATTCATATATAGTTATGAAGTTCTGTTTACACCTAGCTACTCCGACACTCCATTACACCTCCTATGTCCTATCATCTTAAAGGAGAAGTTCACTTAAAAAAAAAACTTTTGCTGATAATTTACTCACCCCCATGTCATCCAAGATGTCCATGTCTTTCTTTCTTCAGTTGAAAAGAAATGAAGGTTTTTGATGAAAACATTCCAGGTTTTTCTCCATATAATGGACTTTAATGGGAACCAAATGGTTCAAGGGTCCAAATAAGAGTTTCAGTGCAGCTTCAAAGGGCTTTAAACGACACCAGACGATGAATAAGGGTCTTATCTAACGAAACCATCTCTCATTTCAAAAATAAATAAAAAAAATGTAAGTTTTATAAGCACAAATGCTCGCCTTGCTCTGTTCTGTGATGCACGTTCGAGACTCTTCTGTTCAAACTGTTCAAAAATCTTTTTTCGAGTCATGACTCGAAGGGTCCTAGATAAGACCCCTATTCATCGTCTGGTGTCGTTTAAAGCCCTTTGAAGCTGCACTGAAACTCTCATTTGGACCTTGAACCGTTTGGTTCCCAGTGAAGTCCATTATATGGAGAAAATCCTCTGTTTTCATCAAAAACCTTCATTTCTTTTCGACTGAAGAAAGAATGACATGGACATCTTGGATGACATGGGGGTGAGTAAATTATCAGCAATTTTTTTTAAAGTGAACTACTCCTTTAACATGCATTTGTAGAAAGGCTAAAAACTGTGGTTTCAGTTGCCGTGTTTTAGAATATTGATGATGAAATTTTGTAACTGATTTTAGTGATTGAAGTAAATAGTTTTTATGAGTGCTTGTTCATTTATGTGTGTGTCTTGATTGTTCTGGACAGTGTGGAGGAGTTGTGTGCTATTGATCTGTATGAGGCAGACACCAGAGACAGTCATGCTAGCATGCATCTTTTACTCTCAGCCTGTAAGCAGCTTCACCAGTCTGGGATGCTCAACTCTGTTCTGCACAGTCAGGTACGCACTGATCAAATAAATGTGATTGTTATTCTGTTCAGTCTACGTAGTAGTTACATTGACTTGGGTTGGGATGTTTACAATTTCTCTATAGGATGCTGGTTTCGGTCACTCTCTGGGCTCCAAACTTCTCAATAGTGTTTATAAAAGCATAGCTCCTGGAAATGAAAGGAAGTCTCTGCCCTCCATGGATGTTGGCAGCAGGAAGTTGGCTAACAGTCTCGTGCAGTTGGCGTTCTGTTTGGGAAATCAGGTAAGTGGTTTGCATTACAGGGAAGGACTAAAGCTGGGAACACATCACAAGACTGTCAGGCCGATTATGAATGTAATTTTGTTGTGACGACTGATCAGTTGTTTCTAGTCTTATATTTAAGAACCAGCCGTAAGACATGAAGATCACAGAATATTCATGTAAACCATGAAACCGGTCTTTTTTGTTTCCCTAAACAACTCAGAGTGAAAGACGGTTGGCCTTTTGCTGAACACCATTACGCTGTCCGTCCCTTCTCGGCAGTCTGAATCCTCACTCCTCAGCTTCTCTCATGGAGAGTACTTCTACAGCCTCTTCCAGACATCTCTGAATACTGAGTTACTCGGCAGTGTGGAGTGCTCAGTGCCGCTGCTGCTGGCTGCAGCCAACCAGAACCCCAGCATGGTGAGGCATCAAGCTAGACTGGGCTACATTTGCTTAAAGCTTAATAGCTAGATCTACGGTGCTTTCGGGAAGGGCATCTCTGGTGAACAAAAACACTAGCAGGATAAAACTCTAGTTTCTCTGCACGCATTGTGACTAAACCTTTAAAATTGTGTCTAACTTGGGATTATAACATGCTTTGGCTCTTGATTGGTTTGACAAATAAAACAAATAAGTCCTATATAGAACTGTTTTACCATTTTCTCCATAAGCACTGAAATCTGAAAACTTTTCCTGTCCAACTGTCTTTTTAGGTTAGTGTGTTGCTGAACGGCATGTTGGATCATAGTTTCCGTGAGCGTTCTGTCAGAATGTCTCAAGGCACACAATTGGCTGAGCAGGTGCTGAAGGAGTGGGATTTACTCAGGCCGTGGTGGCAGGGTCCTACATCCTCACCAGAGAGCAAAACTTCAGTCCTGTCATTGCTCGCCAAAGTGCTCCAGGTACCACATACTCAATGATACTTTATTTTCTGTGCATTTTAAAGAGCTAAAATGGTTACATGGATGAGATTTACATCAGGAGTAGATTTTAAGATTTCGTTTTTTTTCTGCAGATAAATTCCTCTGTATGCTCCAATACAGATCACCCAGCGTTCAATGCTGTGTTCACCACTTTCACAGCTCTTCTCACAGATATATCTATGCCATTAAATCTCAAGGTAATCGTTTCCAATTTTTAGCAGTCAAATTTAAGTTTACTCTGCACCAGTACATTATAGTCTCCTCTTAGTCTTGTAGTGGCATTTTTTTTTTGTACAAGTACAAAGCTAA